TGCCATTCCAGTGTGGCTGTAACTGCAGCATGATGCACTCTACCGCCTCTTAATGGATCTTTTTGTCAGCATCAAAGTGCATAGAGCCCGAGTGTTTTTTTTTTATCTGAGTGAGGCCTTTTTTTTTTTCATCCCTCCTTCAAACTTTCCACTCTCGTTTCTCACCCTATATATGCTGTAGTTTGTATCTCAGGAGAAATGGAAACGTGTCAGTATCTCAGAGACTGGCAGCCCATCTATTATAGCTTATCGCATGTGTGTGTGAAAGAGTGAGACTGAGAGGCATGGAGTAAAGTGTGGTTCATCTTCCACACTCCCCTGCAGGTAAACATTATTAGGGAATTCTCTGTGATGCTTCGGGCACCCTATACATGATTAGAGTTTAGGTGAGAGAGATACTGGCGGCTAGTCTATGTGCTGTGTAGGTCCACAGATGGAGGGTATGTGGTCAGCTTCAAGAGGCAACAACTTGTAAATTTGTCATTACCTATGAGTTCTGCTCTTTCAGTATGCATTGAAACAAAGTGCAGCCATGGTTTTATGCCACCTTCACTTCACTGTATCACATTATATCACACTTACTGATTCGTGCTTTTCATATTTATTACTCTTTTCTGTAGTACCTTGATACTGGTCCATGGCGACTGCTCCATAAACAGGAAAAAAAACAAGATTGTGCACACACAAGGCTTTTAGACGTGTATTGCCCCCAGCAAATCCAATGGAAGGCTGCATAACAGCTGACTCTTTACTGTAGCCATTAATTTTTATGGTCTTTGACTCAGATGCACCTTTCCTGGTTAATGTTACAAAGTGAGGGCCAGAGGGGCAATATCTGCTTATGCGCCACATTATCTCAGCTCATCTGCAGTGACGTAGTAAAACCCACTTTCCACATGTTCCAGTTTTCTGTTGAGATATTATTAGCAGTGTTAAAACAACCTTAACAAAGGGAAATCTAAAATGTATGTAAATGTATTTTTTAAAAGAGACTTAAATAAAGAGCTCGTTCGGCCTGATGTCATCCCAGAGTCAAGGCCCAGTTTTAAAGAACTACTTACAAAACTCCACAAAAATATAGTCAGGAGCCAGACCCTATTACAGCTGTAAAAGATACCAGACACCAATCAATATGGTTCATGTGCGAATATGCCAGTGAGTGCTCTATCCACTCCCACTCCTGTATTTAACACCTGGTATTTAGTGTAAATACTTTCTCCAGAAAGTAGGTTTCAGACCGGCATATTAAGGTTGGATCTGATTCTTCATGTGCACTATTCAGAGCAAGCATACAGGTGGAGGTTGGGGTGGGGGTGGTGGAAAATCCGTCTGCCATCAACATAAACAAACATGACAGGTGTGACTGTGCATTTCCATGGCATTTAACCTGTTGCTAGCAAACATTACGGTTCTTATGCAGACGGGTCAGTGGTGAACAAAGGCCAGAGAAACATTAGCTGGTACTCTCTTACCAACACAGTCACACAGCGTAGGCCGCTCTTACAACTAGACGACGCTGAATTATAATCCTTGTTGGCGTGTCAGTCGCAGTGTGTGCTGATGTTTTTTCTTTATCCAGATTACATATTTAGAGGCGAATCTAGTTGAAAGTCTGGCCTCTTTCTTTCATTCACAATCTCTGTCTACCTATCTATCCATCTGTCATCCTTTCTGTCTCTCTCCCCGCACAAAAGAGCACAATCCTACATTGTTTGTTCTGTTGTAACCCCGTAGCCACATTTTCTAGATGATTTTCCCGGCGAGATGAAACAAGCCCTGTCACGAGCTACAGCCGATTACATGGCTTCATGCGGTGATCAGTCTTTGTGTATAAACACTTCTTTTTTTTTTAAGCAATCGATGCAGCGCTGCACATTGAGGGATAAACTCCTAGTGTCTTAGTGACAATATAAAAACTGTGTGCTTTTTCTGTCTGACTGAGGGCTTCAGAGGAAGGAGAAGCAGAGCTATTTCTTTGTTTATGAAATGAACGCAATGACTTTTTTTTTTTCCCTCGGTCTCTCTCCTCCGTCTCCTCTCCCTTGGAGATATAATCGAACCATGTACACCCACTCTGAGAATCTTCTTTAGTGTCAGTCCTAATGTCACGGCTCATATTAAATGCTCGATAGTGAATCACACATGTAATGAATCCAATCACACTTGTGACCTCTGAGACTATCTGAGACACTGAGGTTTTTCTGACCTGCACATGTTCCTCTTTGTCAGAACTCCTTTATCAGAATGACTGCGTGATAGCTGTGCCGTGTTTACATTAATGGCCCTTTAAAACCTATTTTTTGGAATCTGGTTCATGCTGAAAGAAATGGGGTCTCATATGAGCACACTATTATCTAACAAAGAATGATACTGGTAATTTAGCATGAGAGATTTCAGCTGTTGTGGCTGTGCTTTTTTTCCTCTCTACTTTGGAATGGATGGGACTCTGTTGGAAAAATGTGGTTTCCACACACCTATCAGAATTTAAAAATCTGATAATTTGTTAAAACCCAAACCCAGAAGGTCCTACAGGAAGATCAGCTAGAGTTTTTGAGTGTTACATTTAGAAATAAGGATGTTTTATTCAAATTTTAAAACTGCAATAGTTTGTCTGCAACCACTCAGCGGCAAGAAGAACCTGTAAACACAGCTCCCAAATATTATCACCTCATGAAGTTGTTGTAAATGTGTTAACACACACTTTCCTATTTACACATCCAGCTAACATAGAGAAGCATCAGCAATTATTTTGAGTCGCACTTCTGGCCACCTGACAAATGCTGCGGAGTCGCATGATCATTCTCTGTCGTTTCATCACTATAAGTGACACATTTTACATCACATGTTGTCATTTGATACATTGTTGACATAAACATATTGATTAGTGCAGCTTCAGCAGCTTTGTTTCTTATTTAATCACAAATACACAGAGTTCTTGAGAAAAAGGAAATTTGAGGATCTGAGGGGTAAAGCAAGAATAGCCAGAAAAACGGCAACAGATTACATCTCTCATACTTTCTAGCTATCTTTAGCAGAAGATGCTATGTTTGTTGTAGTTGTTATATTTTCTCATCATGACCAGCTGCTTGTAGTCGTCCTGTTTTTTGTCTGTCCCGTAATCAGCTTCACTCAACAGTGTCTGATCCTTACATTTATGAACCTCCCCACGATGTGGTCCGAGGGGTAATTACATCTGCCAGAGAATGAGACACGTGTTAGTCCTTCCATCTCAGTCGGGCTCAGTTACTCAACCTGATGCTGTGTGTGTGTGTGTGTGTGTGTGTGTGTGTGTGTGTGTGTGTGTGTGTGTGTGTGTGTGTGTGTGTGTGTGTGTGTGTGTGTGTGTGTGTGTGTGTGTGTGTGTGTGTGTGTGTGTGTGTGTGTGTGTGTGTGTGTGTGTGTGTGTGTCCTTGTTTAAACAGTGCTAATTGGCACTCTGAGTGTTTCCAGTCCACCTTTGCAAGAGTGTCTTCTGTGTCACCACTCTCTCGCAGACTGCCAGTCGAATTAAACCCGTCCCCCTCAGCAGCTGATGCCAAGAACATTATCAGACCCCCCCCACACACACACACCACCACCCTCCCCTCCCTCACTTCACCGGCCTCCTCTCGCACTTTATCTGATGGTCTTCTCACAGGAAGGTGGATGCAACCAGCGATTCCAGGTGCCATTTAAATTCAGCCTGACTTTAGATGCCACAAGGGTGACACCAGGAAAGCATCTGTAGACTGAAAAAAAAATACCGTTGGACACCAGTCTGTCTTTGACGGGTGCGTTGGATGAGAAAGTAATGGAAGTAGACACCTGTGTTTGCTAAAATACAGCAAAAGGCCTTAGGCATTATTGACCCCAGTGAAAAAAATCACACTTTAGCAAGCAACCATCTTTAATTGACTGTACGGGAGTCAACTTTTCAACATTCCTCAAGTGTTTGATGTGCGTGGTTTGTTGTCCTGGGGGACGTTGGCTACAGTTCTTCATGTAAAGATGTTTTTCTTTCCATAACAAAGAGACAACCTTGATCAAGAAGGCTTGCTTTAGTCTGAATGGATGTGTGTTTTAATCACAGATCCTAGATCCGTTTGCGGCTCTTTAATGAGGCCTACTCCAGCTGGAAGGCTGTCGGCGCGGCTGCTTTGATCAGTGGCCCATGGACACGGGATTACACTGCTAACACACCACACTAATGGAGCCATGGGGCAAAAAACACACACACACACACACACACACACACACACACAAATACATGTCTAAACACGCACAAAATGCAAATTTAAGAAATATACATATAAACGCACACTCAACCTCTGATAAGGGCACAATCCCATAAGCCAGTGTCTTGTTCACATGCAGCCCATTGTGTCAGGCCCTTTCATCTAGCTGCGTCTGTTTGTGCCGGTTTGGGTCGGCTGAGTTTTAGGCTCGTCGTTGAAGTCTCTGCCAAAGAGGGCTCAGTGAGAAAGGTCCAAAGCTCAGCGCTGACACACAGCCCAACTCTAGAGACTAATGGCTTGTAGCTCCCAACATATGTTGCTTTGTGTAATTGCTTTAATTGCTGTCATTGTACGTAATGGTTGGTCTTTTTCATCTTCCCTGGTGGTGTAGGCATTCTGCTAATTATATCTGTCAGCCCTGCAGCCAAAACGAGCATTTCACAGTGAATTCAGAGCAGTGGGAACTTTAAAATCAGAGTTTTTTTCCTGTATAGTATTGGTGTGTGTGGGGGTGTAAATGACGGACTGCAGAGTGTTAGAGTACAGTAGTTTATGAATCATTCGAGATTTCATAAGTAATTTAGAGACTCCATCGTGGAGCTGTTTAATGGCAGTGCTGTCATGACTTTACTGACTTAACAGTTTGAGCCTTGACCTGCATCTCCTCCTGTTTCCCTTGATTTCTTTGGCTTTAGTTTTTAATTCCCATTCATCCAAGGTTGAAATTGCCATAGTTGTGTACATGAATGTGAAATATAAAATAATAGAAATATTTTCTCTCTCCAGGTACGACACTATCACCAACCAGTGGGAGACGGTTTCTCCTCTTCCTAAGCCAGTCCACTCTGCGGCAGCCACGGTGTGCGGGGGGAAAGTCTACGTGTTCGGAGGCGTGAACGAGGCCGGGCGCTCTGCGGGTGTCCTCCAGTCCTACGTACCGCAGAGCAACACCTGGAGCTTCATTGAATCGCCCATGATAGGTGCGACACCCACAGTCTTTGTTTCACATGCACATTCTTTCACACACAAGCTTTAACACGGTGTAGAGTTGTTAAGTCGTCAGGGGACCTGTTGCCATTGTTACCATCACCTTTTGTATGACAGAGCAGTTGTTTCATTTTTAAACCAGTGTGTACCAGGTTGTGGTTTGTTAATCCCAAATGTGTGGTTTCTCTTTCCTCATTATGCTTTCACATTTCCCATTCGAATGAGAATTACTCGCTCACCAGCTAAATTCTTCCATTTCAAGACATGAATATTAATGTTGATACTTTTTTCTTAATAATGTAACACGAAAGGCTCATATTGCAAACATATTACTGTAACCATTGAAATGCATGCATTCTTTTAATCTCTGGTCATTGACATCTTGCTAAGAGGGCCTCCATTATGGTTGCCCGGTTGCCTAGCAACAGTGTTCTCACAACTCTACCCACTTGAACACCTTCCATATAATGTGCTTGACATCTCCCTTCAAAACCATAAACTCCTGATTGCCATTTGAAGGCAAATCTATCTATCTATCTATCTATCTATCTATCTATCTATCTATCTATCTATCTATCTATCTGTCTATCTGTCTATCTATCTGTCTGTCTGTCTGTCTGTCTTTGTGTGATGTAAGACCTAAACCTTTAATATAAATGGACAAAAACCTACAAATGCGATTTTCAATATAGGGGTTTATTTCAGTAAAAATGTTGACCCACACCCATGGCAACAAAAGAATTCTGTGGTTACTGTATGACCTTTTCCATTCATGTTGTTTTCTCCTTATCATTATTATCATCCTACTCAGTATTTTCCATTATCCCCCACTCTGCCTATGTTATTGCTCTATCATTATAATAAGCAGACCATAGCTGAAATGACAGGTGGGTCCGACCGCAGCTTCTGACATGTTATTGGCCAAACTCTGTAGTTATTCACTGCACAAACCTGCAGCCACACTCCAGTCAGAGCCACCAGGGACCTGTGAAGGACGCAGCAACAGAAGAAACACTTTAACCATGCTGCCATAACTCCAAGGTAGCAGGAAAAACACACAGTGCACAACTCTGCGTGATTCAAAACAATGACAGCTGTGTTCCCAGTGCAAAGATCTTATCCACCGGCATGTTTCTACACAAAAATATATCCTTGAAAGGTACAGCACAGACAGGGATAATTTGCTATTGATTTGAACACATCCTTCGTCATCCTTACATTTGGAAACATTTTAAACCAACAGTTTGACATTTTGGTAAATGCACTTATTCGCTTTGTTGTGAAAAATTAGATGAGAAGATTGATACCACTCTCATGTCTGTCATTACATATAAGGCTACAGCTCAGCTTAGCACAAAGGCTGAAACAGGGAGGAAAAAGTTAGGCATACTCAGTCTCAGAGTTACATTTTTACACTTTAGTTTTTGTGCTGATATAATATGGAAATATAATGTGTTATTTACTGAGCTTGAGAGGTGCTGATGGTGATGTTTTGTTGAAGCCAGGCTAGCTGTTTCTAGTCCTATTTATGCTAAGCTAAGCTAACTTACTTTAACTTCACATTTAACAATTATAAGAGTTGTATCAGTCTTCTTATTTAACTCTTGGCCAGAAAGTGAATAAGCGAAAATGTCAAACTATTCCTTTAAAGCTGCAACAGAAATATATATTTATAAATGGGGGAAAAAAAACTGTTTGTATTCATACATTTTCCACACAATTAAAAATTCTATATTTGATGCTGGATTACCCCATTTAAGATGTTGGCGCATGATGGATTCTCAAGGCAAATAGCTGTCCAAATGCTGCTTTGAAGAATTATTATCTCAAATGGGTGGCCCACTGTTGCTCCAGGCAACACTCAGAGCAGTGGGCATCACAGAGAAACCGAGGGTCAAAAATGTATTTGAATTCAAATGCTTTCTGACAAGAAGTTGTTCTTGTGTCATTAAAGCACCAGTACGAAGGCACTTCCCTCAGCACCGTCGCCCAAAAACTTGCTGCCTGTTATTAGTGCCTTTTTCAGAGCAAGACTACTGTGAGGGAAATTATGATTATGTAACGTGGGTGTTTGGGGCGAGAGCTAAATGGTATTAAAGGTCTGGCAGAGCAGCTGGCAGAGGAGAAAATGAGAGAAAAGTCTAGTGAGAAGCACACATATACAGAGATGCAGACGCACACAACCTCTCCTTACCTCATATCAACTATACATCCCCCCGGGGCACAGGTACACAGCGTATGAATTATGTAACGAGCCGGGAGGTTACTCCATGTGTGTGTGCAGGCTTGGTGTTTGTCTTTTTATGTGTGTGTGTGTGTGTGTGTGTGTGTGTGTGCGTGTGTGCGTGTGTGTGTGCGTGTGTGTGTGTGTGTGTGTGTTAAGGACAGACGCAGACAGACAGACCGTCAGCTGTCAGGGTGTAGATGAGCCTGCGTCTGACAGCCAACGAGCCAAGAGATAATGGACGGGTTTAGTGCTTCCTGTGAAATTGGGCCGGCGATGATTTTAGTGAGCCGGTGGGGAGCGCTTCTCGATCAACCCTCTGCCTCCCTCCATCGCTCTCCCTCTCTAATCTTCGTGTTCATCTCTCTCTTTCTCTCTCTCTCTCATCCCCTCCTCCTCCTTCTCACCCACCGCCCCACCCACCCCCGTCTCTCACAGTCTCTCTCAGCACCGTCTTATCGACTGACACAAATACAGCTGTGTGCGTTTTCTGGTACTGTGCGTCTGTGTGTGTGTGTGTGTGTGTGTGTGTGTGTGTGTGTGTGTGTGTGCGTCGTGTGTGCGTGTGTGTCGTGTGTGTGTGTGTGCGTGTGTGCGGTGTGTGTTATCCCTCTGCATGGACCGTCTCCCGCATGAACTGCAAATGGGTTTCACAAACACTTATCAGGACTGACTTCCTATCTCTTGCAGAGTGAAAAATAATATTACTCGTGCCAAAAATAGTCCCTTCAACAAGTCTATTGAGATGCGAGGTGTCTCTGCAGCTTCATCTCTATCTTCCTTTGTCTTCAATTTATCTGTCTCCTTAGCAGTATACCTACTGAAACATGGGGGCATAATTGAGTCCCCTCATGTGCAGTAAAGTAAACTATTTATGAAGCCTCATTGCTTTCCTTGAAAGGTCAGCTCACCCAAATAACCATAACGCCAAGGCTTTCTGTGAAATTCGTGCCTCCCCACAATAGAGGTGAAAGGAATTTTGTTTGTGCATTGATTGATTCCAGAAAATCCATAAATCTCTGTGATTCAACCTCACTTTTCATACTGCAACATAATACAGCAGTGTGGTGTAAGTGTATTTTATACAATCCTATGCCCCCTCGTAAAGTGTTTTGTTAGATTCACAACCCATTCAAATCATTGCACCCCATCAGCTTCTTTATTTCTGAAACTTTTAAGGACCAGTTTGTTGGATCTAGTGGCATTTGGCAGTGTAGTTGCATGTTACAACCCCCTTGCTTCACCCTCCCTTTTCAAGTGTGTAGGATACTATGGTGGCAGTGAAACTCACCCTTTCTAGGGTGTTGGGTTTTTCCGTTCTGTAGAAACATGGCGGTTCAACATGGCAGCCTCCGTAGACCCTCTGTAGACAAAAATGGCTCATTACAAGAAAACACAACAATTCCTATATTCAGGTGATCATACACTTATGAAACATAACTATGAATACTATATTCCATCTCTGCCAGTAGATCCTCCTCAATGTTACACTCTGGACCTTTTTAATGTCTTACAATTTGTGTATTAATGCTAAATATGTACTTTTGAGCAGATGTGGCTCAGAAGTTAAGCGAGTCGTCCACTAAGCAGAAGGTTGGCGGTTCGATCCATGGCTCCTTTCGCTGCATATCAAAGTGTCCTTGAGGAAGATACTGAACCCCAAATTGCTCCTGATGCTGCCTATTGATGTTTGAATGTGTTTGAATGCTTAGTGTCTGTATCTTGCATGGCAGCCACTGACATCAGTGTTTGAATGTGTGTGGATGGGTGAGTGTGGCATGCAGTATACAGCACTTTGAGTGGTCGGAAGACTAGAAAGGCCCTACACAAGTACAGACCATTAACCATTACTTTTACTTTTCAGGGAGGTGAATCACCCACGTCATGTCTTTTTTTTTTAAAAGAGAGTTAATCTTACTCAATCAGACCAGTCCAATGTCATTTACATAGCAGATGTCCATCATAAATAAGAAATAGTGGTTCTTACCTTTGTAACTAATTTTGTCATTGATTAAAAACATGAGAAATGCAAGTCAAGCTGTATGGTTTGAGGGATAGAAAATGTCTGTCGGTCCACCACTTTTGTCCGAACATATCTCTACTATTGGATGGATAACCATAACATTCAGGTTTCCCTCAGCATGAGTTGTAATAACTTTGGTGATCCCTGACTTTCCATCTACTGCCAACAGGCCAAAATTTCAGTTTGTCCAATACTTACTTTGATTTATGACCAAATACCTGTGAAACTAATGACATTCCCATCGGCCTCAGCTCTCTGTAGTTAAGATTGACAGAGCAGCCAGCATTACTGTAGATTCATGGTCTTATTTTTTATGTCAAAGCCCTTTATTAACTAATTTCTACTAAAGAAATTACCCCTACAAAAGCTGTTCACTGTATGTTCTGTAGAGTAACAGTGACTCTGGAAGAATGAATGACGAGGTGTGGGTGAATATTTTTTCAAATTCCATTCACCTGCCATATAATTGTGGGAACATAAATTAAAGTCCCAGAAAGCTGTGCTTTAGAGCTGAACTATTCCTCTATAACATGAAATATTCATGATTAAATCAAAGTTAAAGACCAACATCTTTTGGTGCAATTTAACACTTAAAAAAGTAACCTGCTTCAACTGGTGCGTGTGGTTTGATCAGATTGGTTTTACAGTAACTGAACTACTCACCAACTCAAATTCAAATGTTGCTCTCATGGAAGTAGATTACATCACCTCCTTTTTCCCAAAGGAAGCCTTGCCCTCTTCAAAGCAGCGAATAGATAACCGAGAAAAACAAATTCTCACACGAAATAACCAGAACTGTATGTTCACGTAGGACCCCATCACTCATGATAAGAAAATGATTGAGAAAGTTTTCAGGGCCTTTAAAAACTATCTGCATGGTAAGATAACCCCTAGATTCAAGTGAGAAAATTGAGCATAGCGTTAGTTCAGGCAGGGCACGAAGTCAGGCTTAGCTTTCAGTTACAGCTATATCATACGATCACAGCTAGTCATAAACATACATCAGCTGATTCCTCTAAGCTTCCCATTGGATACCATGCACAGTCAGCTGACAGCTCACCTGATTTCCTCAAGCATCCAATTGGCTAACATCTACATGGCGTCTTATTTAAGCTGCTTTAGCCTGCCTGCCTATCTCTGCTGCTCCTCTACAAGCCTTTTTGCACCCACCTCCACCCCAGCTCCTCCTTTTTATATTTCTAATTAATCAATGTCATTTTCTGATTGCCATTGATGCTGCTCTGTTCTGTACCCTGGGGGGTCTCTGCTGCCGCTCTCCTTGTCTTAAACTTTTCCATGTATGCACATGGAAGGGCAGGGAGGTGTGCTCTCCCTGCCTTAAGGTTTTCCACGTAGGCACGCGGAAGGACAAGGAGGTCCCAGAACAGAGCCATACCGCCAAATGTAATTCTGCTTGGAATATAAGATATTTTGACGAAAGTGGTCCTGACTGAAATATGCTTTTTCATAATTTGGGTAAAGTAACCCTTTGAAAACAGTAGTTGCTTACACAACATACTCCCAGCCTTCCTCCAGTATTCACCCAGCGTACGTCCCCTGCTGACAGACAGGTCTCCATTGATTGGTCGACTCCAGGGACCAGAGAGCAGAAACGCTGTGCCCAGACTGCTCTATCGGGAAATTGACAGCAGAACAATGGCCAGCACAAAATGACGTATCAGCCCAGCAGCCACAGCGATTGAGAACGCCATTATGGAGGTGGAGGAAGAGGAGGGCAAAGTGTCAGAGCGAGAGAGGTGGAGAAGATGGAGTGTTTCCATAGCTACCTAATTGGACGAGTCGTCCCCCCCCCCAACCTCCATCTGTTCTCCATCGTTCTGAATTAAAGTACATCATCCCCGTTCACCCCCTCCGCTGTTTTGGTACGTCATTTGAAAAGCTTCTCCGCCACATAAAAGGATATTGTGTGAAGAAGAAACAAGTTTTTGCTGCTCCAATTACCTTGTTGTAATCTTATCTAAGCTTCTGGCTGGAAGAACTGAAGCTTCTTTGTCCTATTTCCTCCTGCTCCCCCGTGCTCTCAGATGGGATGCAGGAAGCTGGAGAGGATACCCAACAACTCGTCCTCCATGTTTTTTCGAGGAGGAGAATGTCTTGTTTTATTCCTTGTTTGTGATCTTCTGCCGCCTGTGACTGACCGCACATTTCCACACCGCTGTAATGCCACAGATTTGCGATGACGACTGCTGTTTGGGAGTCTTTATCAGAGAGAGCAGTCTTATCTAGATCTGTACAGTATACAGTGTTGGTATAATTGAGTGAGTTGTGATGTATCTGTGTGTGTGTGTGTGTGTGTGTGTGTGTGTGTGTGTGTGTGTGTGTGTGTGTGTGTGTGTGTGTGTGTGTTATCGCTGCGGTAGTGTTCCGGTTTTATAGAATCAGATATCTGCCGTGTTGATGCAGGAATCAGATAGGAAAGGATGTGAGGGAACAACAAGGTGTTTGTTTAGACAGCAACCACAAATTTCATCATAGCTGTGTGTTTGTTTGTGTGTGTGTGTGTGTGTGTGTGTGTGTGTGTGTGTGTGTGTGTGTGTGTGTGTGTGTGTGTTTTCACTCGTTTCCTGTCCTTGACCTCAGCCCGAGGGGTCCCAGACATGGTGACTAAGCTGTTTTATCAGAGTGTGAGAGGCTGCGTCAGCCCGTGTTGCCCCGCAGGCACAGCTGTACTCCTATCACCGCTGCCGTGTTAAAACCTTGTTTTGCTGTCTTTTTTTTCCTCCTCTCCCATCCCTTTATTCATTTTTTATGTAGAATGTGGTCATTTGTGGGTTCCTGGCTTAGTTTTTCTAGCCTCAAAGCGGCGAAACCAGACTAAATCCATTGTGAGACTTCAAGAATAGCAAGGTTTTTTCTCAGAATTAGAAAGTTTTCAGCTGACATGGACAATACTTGTGTACTCTTTATTGTATCTCGGTGTTGTTTAAGGAGAAACGGCTCGTTTTGGTTGTGTCGAAGGCCAGGGGATAGCAGCAGAAGCAAAGTGGTGGAGAGATGTTGAACCCTGACAGCAGTCCTTTGAGACTTGCCAATTGAGAATGCGATATACCTGCCTGGTACTCGTGCAAACCCGCTGCTTACTGTGGGTCCACGAGAGAGAGAGAGGCAGCAAGCAATGGTGAGAGTTTCTATGGGGAAAAAGAGAGAAAGGTTTTTCCTTTGAGAGCATCCTGTTATTATTCTGCCTCAGGCGCCGAGCAGAGAGAAATGAGTGTTCTGTGTTTATGGGACCTAACACAAAACATCATGTACACACGCTTACGCTTGTGCTCGCACACACACACACAAAAGCTTGGGAAGACAGGCAGCGGCATATCAATGAGATGAAGAAGGTAAAAGAAGAAAATAAACACGTCAAGCAGAATGTGAGGAGGACCAATCAGTGGCAACTTGTTTCTCAAGGGCAGAAAATGAAGCTGACGCCTCAGATGGATGCAGTGGAAGTTCAGATTGAATTTCAGTGCGTGTATATGACTGCATTATGGTCATATAATGCATGAAACAACTGCATGATGTAATTTGGAGGCTAGAGTTAAGTGGGTTTTTTTGCCATGATAGTGCCATGGATGGAAATGTCTCCCTGTCTGCCCATCACTTTGGTCTAGACTGAAATATCTTGACATGATATTTTGTACATACATTCATGGTCCCGAGAAGATGAATCACAATTAATATGGTAATTGGGGCGTAGCTCATGGGCTGGGCCCTTTATGGAGTTGAGCGGCCCGGGTTTGTTCTCTAACTGTCTCTATAAAAAAATAAAGCCAACAAAGGCAATAAACCCTCCCCCAAAAAAAATAAAAAAAAAATCTTTGGTGATCCCTGACTCGGATCCCTCCCCATTGGTGGCTGTGCCTCCGGGGCGTAAGCCATCCTCCTAAACTGGTATTTATAGGACCTCATGTGCACTTCAGACTAGGAGCACACAAAGTTTTAGCTGAGACAGCTGCAGGTGATATTAATAAGGAGATTAAATATAAGGTGAGAGATTTATCCGTAGAGTAAAAAGGTTAGATTTAGGTTATTCGCTAATTATTATTCTTGCAGTCTACACAGCGTTCTTTAAATTGTCTATCAAATGCACATTTATAAACTTCAATTTAAATGATTTGACGGATGATTCTTACTTATTTGAGCCTTCTGTGAGATGGTCTTTTCATTTCATGTGTTTTTTTTTTTTTGCTTTTGCGAAGCACTCTGTGTGATTCAGTACAAGCTGAAATGAATCATTCATCATCCTTCTGCCTAATAATGATGATTGAGATATCACCGTGATGATGGTTTACAGGTACATGTGATGAACTGATACGGGTGCTATAAATAGCCACAGCCGCGCGTAATGACAGCTGTTTTGGTGCCGTTGGAGAATGTCGCTAATGCTACACTCAATGTAAGTGCACTTCTCACTGACAGGTCTAATGAGAGGTGGATCGGGGCTCCAGAATATATACGCAAACAGATGTTTAAGGGCGTTTCTACATCCATGTGATTGAGGTTTATAGAACAGAATCGTGCTTCTTGCGGCTTTATAAATCTGCTGAAAAAGAACGGGTATGTATATTTTTGTCTTTGTGCATACGCACAGTTTCAGTCATGAATCTAAAAAGAGTTTTATGCATCTGGCCCCTGGTCTTGTTACAGAACATTACGAGTTGAAGTGTAGTAGCTGAAAACATAATGCAGTGCAGCTCATTCAGAGTGTCACTCTGAGGAGCAGCAGAAGCACCTCTCGCCTCCAGAGGTGACCTGTTAATTAAACATGTCAGACTGCTCTCAGCAGCTGAAAGGCAGAAGGGGGGGAGTCTACTACACAACAGAAGCTTTTAGGGTTTCCACCACCATTATTAAGGCGTCAGCCGTTACTCCTCCTGTTGCCTGTCTCCAATGAGGGATGTCCGTCCACTGTGGCAGAAAACAGCAAGGACGGCGGCTCCAGCCAAGTGTCTGTGCATTATTCATGCTGCTTGTAAATTGGCCAGCTGCAGTCTGCTCAAGAGAAATTGCTCTGAGTTTGAAATACACTTCCTCTTCCCACACAGCGGGGCCGCTGCTTGCAAGCTGCAGGTTTCCAATGGCATCGTTCCGCACAAACCACTGTTTCATTTTGTTTCCCCATCATCTATAATTCTACAGCGGTGCTGCTCCAATGCCTTTGTTTTCCTCATGTGCTGTATACTGTATCAGATTGAATTATACAGTATGCACAGTGAGCAGTACCCCACCTGTTCACTCATGTATTTCCAATACATGTGCACAGCGTTTTTTTCCTTTTCTTTTTTTTTGTGTGAATCTATGGATGTGCCAGAGGGCGTAATGCAATTGTGAATTATTGGGGACTTAGGTAACTCCTTTATATTGCTGCCAAGCCCAAACATATTTTTGAGCAGAACCCAATAAAGCCACAAGGATTTATGAACTCCGCTTTTTCACTGGTTTGTCATCCATTCTGGGTTATTTTTTTCTAAAGCAATCTTGAGAATGGCACATCTGTAAAGTGATAAGAAGAATGTTGATGATGATTTTTGCATGCAGCCTGGGGAAAAAATGAAAAAACAAATTGATGCCATTATAGTGAATGGAAATTTCTGCTGTGTGTGAGAGTGACATTCAAACAATAGCTCTGTGTTTTCTTTAACAAAAATCTCCTCCCCTTCTTCCCTCTCTCTCCTTCTCTTCCTCTCATATCTTTAGATAACAAATACGCCCCTGCAGTGAGTCTAAACGGTTTTATATTCATCCTGGGAGGAGCCTACGCTCGAGCCACCACTATCTATGACCCAGACAAAGGCAACATCAAGGCCGGTCCCAACATGAATCACTCTCGGCAGTTCTGCAGGTAAGAGATTATTAATGTAGCAGTACCACGTGTAATTTAGGCCCGCAGTGTGGAATTTAAAAGATTTTTTTCAAAAGCTCAAATTGCAGGTTTGTTTTGTGTGAAGCTTAAAAAAACACCACATTATTACACAGCCTAAAAAAAAATATGTAAAACTCAAGTTTATTAGTAATCTGCCAGTATTTTTGTCATAAGACGGGTAAACGGTTGCACAGGGAAAATGTATTCAGGCCAGTTAATTAAAACTTGAACAAAGCCAGTTGTGGGCTGACAATGTTTCCAACACGATGCACTGAGGTTGTGAAACTTCTCTCTTGGTAGAGAAATTGCTTTCTAATTTGTGGGCTTGATTTTTTAAAATTGCTTGATCAGTAACGCTGCTGCCTGTCATCCTGAGAGAAACAAAAGAAATCCGTTGGAAAAAAAGAGACTACTTGGTTTAATCAACTTTCTTTCAAAGCGTTTAAGCGCTCTATTTTATTCTGAGATAAACCTATGACATATGAGTCATTTGTATTATTATTTTTTATTTGCACATAGTTAGGTGTAATGTTCTGGTTCTAAAAAAAAAAAACCAAGAAAGGGCAGTCCACACCTGTAACTTTCATAGCATTTGTGGACACATAATGGCTGATAAAGGGAGATAAATGAAAATTAACAACAGTGGGATCACATCCTAATATCCCAGTCAGCTCGAGCCACTGAGGTATGCAGTTTGCTGGATAATGAACCCACTGTTTTCTGGGCCCGAGCCCTTTTTTTCCTCCACTCTTTTTTTCTCTTTTTCCTCAGAAGCTGAGAACGAAGGAAAGCATGCTCGAAATACATTTGGGAAGCAATTACAGACAGTGATCTTATGTGCAGAATGTATAACATAAATCATGTTGTCAGAGTTATTGATAAGCTGCAGCAGCACACGCCAGGCAGCTGTTCTGCTACATTTAACTAAGTCTGACACACGAGAGAGGAAGAGACGCGGGGAAGGAGGGCGAAACAACAAACACACAGAGCTGCCAAAAGAGAAACACACAAACACTCAGAAACAGCACTATCTACAGTGCATGCTCCTGCGCACAAGATGAGGTCTAGCAGGTCATCGTGCAAGAGAGCTGATATTCTCCCCTTGCTGCGTCCGGCCCTCTGCAGGCCTGCACCTCCCCTCTGTTTATCAGGACGAGCAGCTCCAGGCTTTGCCCTGTGCTCTCTCCATTTTGGATCAGCTGTGCGGCTTTCTCTCTGAGTAGATTTAGGCTTTATGTAATAATCTTTTTCAGTCCCAACTGTGTTGTGAATTTGTGCAATAGGACTGCATGTCGTTCGCTCTGTGTGTATGCGTACGTGTGTGTGTTTGAGCGTGCACCTTATGTAAATGCAGATCGTTCCAAACCCCAATAGGAGTACAAAGCCCTAATCAGCTTACAGCCCAAGTTTTAATCCTCTCCGCACACAAACTCCTGTTTCTGTTTCTCATATCAAATGAGCACATTTGTACAGATATTTGCTTTTTCATTAGTTTTCTCCCTAGCCCTCAAGAGGTAATGTAATGTGTGTGGGGTTTTTTTTTTCTTACCTTACAAAGTAGCCTTGTTGGGCAGCATGTGTGAATTATGTCAAACATCTCAGGCGTGGCCCCTAGCGCGACAATCAGCGTGTTTATGGCGATGTTGTCTTCTGTCTGGCTTTGTTGTCTTATCATGATTAACAATAAGAGCAATATCCCTGCTGCGGTGAGTCATAGCTAGCTAGTATCAAAGCCACATTAGCTCAAACTTGCTTTCACCCACTTATCTTCCTGACACAGTTTCTCTCTCATTACTATTTGGTCCTAACAGTCAGTGCTTTTAATTTGAAGCAGCAGCAGTAGGCAGGTTTTGTATTAGCAGTAACCTAATACAGCTCTGACACGGCTGTGAGCGAGTGGATGGTAAACAGTGAGACTGATATTAGAGGAATACAATTCTAAACAGTAATGCTGGATTACAAACATGCATCCTTCATCCATCCTTCATGCGAGGATGGGTAGGTCATTTTAATCCAGATTGAGAATTGTTGACTCAGGTAAAAAGTACTATATAAAACGTAAATAAACAATGTAAATACATTAAATGGCTACTGCTGAAAACATGCAGAGCATAAATGGTATCAACAGCAGAGTCTGGTTTAATGAAAATCCTATGTGCCCTTCAGTTTCTTGGCTGCAACCAGTAACTTGTGGAATTTCCACTGGTAAATCCACACATAAATGCCTGGAAGTTTAAACAAATTAAACAAGATGTATTGTATTCAATAGTGAGCTGTAGAGGTGCTGATGGGCAGATATTGTTACCATTTCTCAGAGCCAGACTAGCCGGCAGATATGAGAGCGAGGTATCAATCTTCACATCTAACTCGCAAAAAGTCTATTCCTTTAAAGGTTTCTATCTCTTAAAAAGAAATGAACTGAACAACATTTCTGTGTCTGCCTTCGCAGTGCTGTGATCCTGGACGGGAAGATCTACGCCACAGGAGGCATCGTGAGCAGCGAGGGTCCAGCCCTCGGCAACATGGAGACCTTCGACCCTTGCACCAACACTTGGACGCTCCTGCAGTCACTGCCCTGCCCGCTCTTCAGACATGGCTGCGTGGTCATCAAGAAGTACATTCAGAGCGGCTGAGGTGGTGGGGGGGCGGCCGGGACCCGATCACACTGGGTCGACGCCAAACACCAGCTGAGCCCCGGTTGTGGGACGATGTGCGACAACAGCTTAGGGCCGGGCCGGTTGGTCGGTCAGCGACCTCTGGACTTGACGCCAGCATCCATCCACCTTGTTACCTGTCTCTCCCCCCAAAAAAAAAAAGCCCTGTGCAGAATGTACTCATGTTTAACTACTCAGCCATGTCAGGTGACGATGCCTAACCTCCAGTACTGTATGTATCATGGTAGTAGTTCATCCTCCCATCCAACAGGCACAGGGACCCTCTTAGTAAATTAACTCCTTGTTTTTTCGATGAAGTCATCGTTGGTTTTCGGTTGTTGTTTTTTTTTTCCCCAGATCTCTGTAAACTCACCACCTTCCTATTTCTTTACTATACTCTGACTCAGTGCAGTGAAAGCCATTTCTGGTTTATGTCCGGTTTTTGAGAATTATGTTTGACAGGTGTAGGTTTCATAGTCATTTTTTTAGGGATGGTTTCTTTTTGGCGTGTTTTTCGGTACAGCGACATCTACAGGGCAGGAGGAAAAGCGAAGGAAAGGAATTCATCGACTGTTTTCCTCTTTATCAGTGGATTAGACGAGTTTCTTCTCTCTCCACCGTATCAGGAAGTGAACTCCTACTGTGAGTGGATTTATGAGGTAATTTTAAAAACAGAGTCTGAACTCTGTGTAACCCGTTTCTATTAATGACTTGCTAAACATCGGAAAAGCTATAAAAAATCTGGGTCGGGTAGGGTTTAAAAAGAGAAAATCTTTATTTTCTTCTTTGTTCTAGTGCAATTCCAGCTTGATTGAGATATCATCTGGAGGGTGAGTTGCCTGTTTTTCCCCCCTCCCTTTGATTCATACTCGCTTGCTCTCGGGGACAAAGACAGCGCTACATTTAGAGAGAGAGAGAGAATTCCTCCTTCCGCTGATGTCCGATCAGATGTTCAAGTTGGGACAGTTCCTCCGGATAAAAGCACAATAACCACCCATGACTGTTACCATAGAATCTGTTGATTCATTTTTTTTTTTTTTTTGTCTTTCATGACCCACCTTCTATTTGTTTTATACAATGTGTTTCATTGCAACCCACAAAATGATGTTGGGTTGGAATTCTGTAAATACAGGAAGGAAATATGTATATTTTAAAACCTGAAGGCAATTCTGTATAAATGTTTTTAGAAAAAAAAATGCTAGGTTGGATTCAAAACGGTATGTCTGTAAATCTGTACCCAAAAAGGAGAAATTAACAGTTGTTATTATTGAAACCTAATACATATACCAGAACATGAACACAGTGTCATGTCTTTTTTGTATACTAATGAATTCAAGTGTTGAATAGTGTAGAAGTGCTTTACTCAGTACAGGTAAGTTGCTTTTTCACATCTCAGCACAGGCTTCTGATTTTGGCATATAAAAATACAAAAGGTGTGGTTTTTAAAAACAACTAAGCAAATAAATGGTTTCACAAACTTTCAGGTTACAGGTTGTCTGAAAATACGTGTGTGGATTTCTCATTTGTCTAAATTTAGAGTAAGAAAAATCAACACTTGAAATGTACAGTTTGAACCTTTATTCAAGTATATCACAGCAGTTTATTTGAGAAATACAGTAAATGTTTCATTTCAAATATAACTTACACTAAAGTAACAATTGCGAACAGGTGTGTTAAAATACACAAACAAACAGAATCGACAAAGCTATGGAAAGTCTTGACTAAATAAACTGTGAAAAATAGGGAAGAACAAAGTAATTCAGGATAGAACAAACCCTTTCCTTCTGCATACTGGACTAAGTAGTCTCAACTACCAGACAAAAATTGGTTGTTAGTCCAAACTGGCTACAATTTATAGTAAGAAAGGAATATCACAATGTATGACATTTAACTACCCATATTTTATTTGTGTTTTTAAATTCATAAAAAATAACTCTTTTGGCAGAAAGTGGAGACAAAGTGAAAAACATTAAAAGAAAGTTAGTCTGGTCCTGTTTCACTTCCTGGGATGTACTAAATGGACACTATGTTTCCTTCAAATATCACTTCGGTCCTAATGTTATGTTAGTCTTTTCCAGTATGCCACAGTCTGTAACCACTTTAATGAAGAAAACACCAGAACAATGAAATAAATAAAAAGAAAAGTTGAAAGGGCATGTTGTCGCGTGTTGAACCTGAGAGACCTGTAAACCCTTTTATTCCCCCGTACACGCCAAATAAACCTGCTACACAAACGCTACGCAATTCAGCAAAATTGTTAAAACGGACGCATGACGCTTCCCGATTTGTTAAATTTCAAACGTACAAAAAGACAATTTACTGAATATTAGGTGTAAAACATGTTTAATAATAAATAATTAGAATCATGAGATGAAAATCTGCAAAAACAATCAGAAAAAAAAAAAGGCAATAGATGTGTAAAGAGGCAGAAATTGCTCTCTATAGCTTCTAACAAGGTATGGGGTGAGAATATGAAAGAGGAGCAGATCTAGGATGATCTCCTCAATGTCAAGGTACAGTAGAAATTAAACTGAAACTAATAGAATAAAATATACGGTCCGTGAAATACCCTTAAAATGTATGCAATCATCATCTGGCTCAAATGCAAACATGCATAACAATCGGAAAGATATAAACAACTCTTGGATTACTGCAGCAGCCGTGGTTGCACTGATCTGGAACCTTAGATGGTACTGTAGATTTCACAACAGTATTTCGGGGGGGGGGGAGAAAAATACTGTGTGCTGTACCCAGTAAACAGTTTTCGCATTAAAATAAATTAAGCTGAGGTAGCGTTGGTTTTTCTCTCTGCAGTAGTCCAAGTGCTAACCTGTCATTGCCAGTTTGCATATGGTCTTTGCTTTTGTCACCTAGAATTTGAGAAAAGGCAGAGGTGAGCTGGGGTCAGAGTTGCACCAAGAGGTTTGAGGATTGGACAAGAGTGCTTTGAGAGAAAGAAGGGGCCTTCTCCAGTCTACACCTGCTCAAAACATGGCATTTCCCAAACCATGAAAATGCCATGAAAACCTTTATAAAGCTTCAGTAAATACCTTCATTTACTGCAGTCAGAAAACATACACTATGTTGGCCACAGATTAGAATCCAGCTTCTCTTGTCTGGTGTTGAGAAAAAAAACAGAAGGAAATGAATCCACTAAGTCGGTACACACAATTGAAAGGAGACAAAAAAAATAAAATAAAATCATGTAATGCTTTATACACCTTAGTGACGGGCACTGCCTAGAATGGCCTTGTTCATTATGGATTCACAACCAATGCAAAACAATCTCAACTCAAGCAAAGCATTGTATAAAAAAAAACGTAAAAAATAATTATCAAATACACAACATAATACATAGGTTGTTAGGACCATCTAACAGAACATTTTCATAGTCAAAACAGAATTCCTGTGAACAGGCACCGTTATGTCAGCACCTTTTGAGGGAGTGGGATAACGCTTGGCACGATAAAATCATTTGACTCGCATCATTATGTTTTGCATATGAAAAACTGAAGAAAAGCTGGTGTTGTCAACCTCTTCTTACACCTGCCGTCTGCTCAGGTGGAGACTGACCTCCCCAACAGGTCTGGGTTTAACAGGGTGTGAATACATTTAAAAATCGTAACAACGTTTCAAGTGCTTGAGATGTATCTGGCCAGACACCGACACAGCCACAGAAGGTTAGTATTATCTGAAACTCCTTTCATATTCCTCACATTTTTGAAGGTTGTTAATGACATTTTTTTTTGGCCGAGGTTGGAGATGTATAACCAAGATATGTTTTGACCAAACGGTATTGAGATTTTATTTGAATTTTTTTGCTTGAAGGTCACTGTGCCCTCAGTGGTTAAGACCCACCCCAACTTGGAGCTTATTTATTTTCACAAGAAGTTAATAAAAAAGAATCCTGCTTAATATATCAGAGTTTCATATGAGGTTTTAAATAAGGCACACACTAGGCAGTGCAAACTCTAGACGCGTTCCAAATTGTACTGCTTCCAGTTCCTCAGCTGGGGTGTCGGTAGGAAAATCAACTGGCTGGCACAGCTTGAGCGGGAGGGAAAACATTCAGACTGTTGATGTAGTGAGGATGGGGGCTCAGCTACCACACAAACTATTCAGGACATGACATTCTGCTAAGACTGTGAATGTCAGAGGTGGTCTATGAGCGAATGTTTCGAATGATGAACACTGATGGGGGCTAACAGCTTTCCGCACCTGATGGCCGCTGTAATGTAGAGGACATAAACGGTTCTAGTCCTGCTGCGCTAACCCTCGACCGGTTTGTATTCCCACTAAAACTTCTTTGTAAACTATTGTTCTGGGTGAGTATCCTTGACAGTGGCTCAGATATTGAATTAATCAAGTAGCTAAAATGGCAGAAAAAAAATGAGCCGCATAATAGCGTGGTGACAACTGGCCTATGACGAAGCGTTCCACTCGAGGGCTCAAGATGGGCTCAGCAATGTAGTTCAGTGATTCAGAACATTATCTGTCCTCATCTCCTAGCTCTGCATTCACACTTCTGCTGGTGAGGATCTGGGTGTGTGTGTGAGTGTGTGTGCGTGCATTTCGGGTGTGTTTGTAGAAATGCATGCATACCCAAGTGTCAGGTTTGTGTGTGAGTGTGTTGTGCTCCAGCGAGGAGCGGCCAGGTTGAGATATGACATCACCCGATCTGTTGGTTTTGCTAGTCATCCAAGTTAAGAAGTAATCCCAAGAGCAGCATGGATAAAAGTTAGAATAGCACCCGAGTAGCACCAGGGTTGCCCGTCACCGTTGGTGTGTGTGCGCGTGTGTGACTGACACACCTCCAGGTGTTTGGTTGTGTAGAATGGGTCTGGATCTGGCCAGGTTCCTGAGACGATAGCACCATTGAATGTCTCCGTCCTCAACCTCGTCCTCGTCGTGTTCCCTCCCAGCAAGAGGAGAATCTTTTTTTCTCCGTGTGTTTTTGTGTTGAGGGCTGGATTCAGAAGCTCCTTCACGCTCTCTCTCTCTCTCTCTCTCTCTCTTCTCTCTTACTCAGTTTGTGTGTGTCTTTGTGGTCCCAGGCTGTTCAGGATCTACCTGATATGTATTCTTCTCCATCTCACAGGAATGTATCAAAATGCTGAATTCTGTCCTCCAACTCCTGTGCCGCAAACAGAGAGACAAACACAGACACATACTGCTTAGTCTCAACCAACACAGAAAACTTGGATGTGTGTATAAAGCATCTGTGCACTACGGTTTTTTAATATTACTTGGAAATTTCCCACAGCAAACAACAGCTTTCACCATGATAAATGATGTAAAATGAAGCAAAGCTGTGCTGGAATGAGACAGGCGATTTTTCTCGGCATGAAAACAGCAGAATTTGACACTGACTAAATCTGAACAGAGCTGGAGGAAGAGAGATGGATGTTAGCCTGCAATAGACCATGATTAATGCCTTGAAGATGTTACACTGTGTGTGTTCTCTCATCTGAATGGCTGCTCAGTGCGACAGACGCCGCTACAAGACACCAATTTCAACATCTACAACAAAAGTTCAAAACTATCAACTTAATAGTAAAAAGCAAAGGAAAGTAAACTTTTCCAGGGTGGGGCAGTTATCCTTCGACCTCAATGCCATGTTCATGCACACTTTTTTGTTTCCTGTAATATGGCATTGAATCTACAAGCTAACCTCTGATGAAAAACGCCATTTGCAATCCTCTCATGAACAAAACAAACCAAAACAAAAAAAGGTTCAACTGGTGATTAAGTCCTTTGTTAAATGAAACCAAGGGTCCACGCTGGCCAGCTATTCATTTTATAATCGAGATATAATAAACTATACCCAACATATTTTGACATTTATTATGAATCTATTTAAAAAGGTCGTAAGGCTGATACTTTTGTTCCAGTTCCATTTATAACATCAATTAAACACTTGGCACTTTATCATACCCACAACTATCAACACCAGGTCGCACAAGCTGTAAAATTCAATGAAGGCACGAAAAGTGAAGTTAACGTGCAACTGAATAAAAAAAAAGTCACTAATGTAGAAAAACTCCCTGAAAGCTTCAGCTCATCAGGCACAGCCCATGTTTAGACACATCGATGCTTTTAACACCCGTCGGTTTGCCGTGTCTCACTGCGCACCCACACACCAACACGCAAATAGGCTCTATGCCGTCTTGCTGCTTTGCACCTCTGTGATCTCCGGTCTATCTTCCAGGAGGCCTATCACCTTGTCATCCCTAAAACACAGCACACATTATAACAAGCCCCCGCAGCACCTGCCCTCTGCCTCACTAACATAAAGTGTGTGTGTCTCTCTCTCTCGTGCATGAGCAGAAGTCCACCAGCATAGCGAGAGGTTTAGTTCCTTTATCGCTCAATATGTAATGGCAGAATTAGGAGTTTAATTTCCCAGAGGGTCACATCAACACTATGCATAAAAAGAGAAATCCAGCATTGTGTGCTCTACACTGTTCAGATGTCATCAATTTGTGATGTTCTACCCATTTGTGACAAAGGTGTTATAAATTACTTTGGTGTACCTGCCTTCTTTGAACTTGTCTTATCTACTTCCAGCGCAGTTACTGATTTCCTCTATTTCCCAGATCAAATTTTCTACAACCCTTGGGAGAACAGGGCTCTCTGCGGTGTGTACGTGCAGGTTAGGAGAGCAAAAACAACAACAGTGGAGCAATTTTTTATTTATTTTTCTAACCGCAAAAGAAAAAGTGAGAGACGAAAGAGAACAATTTTGTGTGCTGTGCCTGGATGAAGGTGTTGTTTCACAAGCTACTGACAACAGATTCACAATGATGAAGGCTTGGGTGCACTGCATTCTGTTCTACAAAGGCTACTGTCAGTGTGAAAAACTGATTTCTCTGCCTGTTTTATGATGGTTTTGTCTTTATGTGACTGTTCCACATTGGGACAAAACCATCTACATTCTACTACCTATCTGCATGAGTAAGAACAAGGCACAATCAAAATCCTAGAAGTCCAACGTGTTTTAGGAACAATTCTACAATCGACACTGCCCCCGATGTTACTGCTTTTGATACACAAGTAAGCCAAAAAGTGTATAGTGAAAGATCTGGAGGCTACAATCTTCCATAACAAACATTTAAATAAGCAGAGAAATAACCGACCTTTATGATGATGCGCTAACTGGAGCAGGGGCATGTACAGCTCTGGTACCAATTCGGGTTAAAGGTCAAAGGCTCTTACAAAGTCTTAAATTGCTGTTTGAGACACGGACAAAATAAAACATTAGGCCTAGGGCAATATGAAAGCCAATTTGTAGATAGGAACATAGTTGGCATGTTATTGTGTGCCGAGCAGAGATGGTCCCCCTGGCTTTAACTGGAAGCAGGGTGCAGTCCACTCCATCTGCTAAAAGGTCAGCTCTTCCGCAAGACTGAGACAAGCCATACCCAGAGGAGGACGAGAAGAGTAAAGGAGACAAATATATGGACACGCTCCATTTCACTCATCTCTGCAACGTAGACAGAAACACCATGCGTTGCAACAGTAAGTGGAAATGGCTTCATACAGAGCATCAACCCTACATAAGTGTATGTGCGCATGTTTTTGCTTTCTCTAGGGGGGGAACAAGGATATGACCTGCTGTGGAGTCGAGATGTGTGCTGGAAAACACAGGCAAACAAAACACGTGCCAAACGAGCTGACATTTCTGCTCTGGAAGCACCAATTTGGGCTGGCAGTATGAAATGAACCCAGACACGCGCCGCCCTCCCCTCCACCAACAGCCGGCCCCGTCGACAGGCAGCACCACCTGGCTCACTGCTCTCCGCTGCCCCCCTCCCCCTCCCTCTCTCTGACATCCTGACAGCCAGCTCTGGCTAACAGCACCAGGACACTGCCACTCCTGGCCCGCAGTATGCACCGACATCCTACAGCAGCAGCAGATGACCAGATGGGATTCTGGGAAAATATACAGCAGCTTTATCTGTATGGAACATTGTCAAGAGAGATTAAAAATCGAAATAGAAAAAGAATTACCTTGTATTAAGGGTCTTTTTGTTAAGCCTTGTGCAAGAAGCATTTCCCAAAGAGACAAAGCACTCAACACACTTGCATGCTACAATTAACACTCAATAGCTTAAAAAAAAATATTTTTTACATTTTATTTTATTTTATGACCTTGATGCTACAGTAAGAAGAAACTTCAATTCATTTTGATAAGATTAACTGAATTAAAATAAATGAAAATAAGGGCACACAAAGGCATATTAACTCCTTGTATCATACTATACTACTAAACTATGTTAGTAAAAAGTATATAAATATATTTTATGCTGCTTAGATCTCATTTGGGTTGTTGAATAGAGGATATTATTTGAAATGGCAATCCTTAACCTCGATATTGATTTATATCACTTCATTCCATATACACACTTCCATCCTCCAATAACTACCTAGCAGTGGTTTCTATCATGATGCCTTCCAGACACTACTCCATGTTTCAGCCTGTATCACTGTGTCGTTGTCTATATCTAACCTCCCAAGACTTCTCATATCATTTGCCCCATCCACTTTTCCATTATGTTGTAACTAATGTTATTAGTTCAATAAATATTACCAGTTGTTTAGAACCTCACTGTCAAAGTTTAGACAGTCTTGAAACAAGTTATAACAGGTCATAATGGAACATAATGTGCAATACCATGGACAAAAGCCAAACAAATTAACCCTGCAACTGGCTTCTTTTCACTATCAATTAACATCTGATTATTTTCACTTAATTCATTGTTTATTTTATATAATATGTAAAATTGAAATCTGCCCATCACCACTTTCCAGAGCCCATATGATGATATATTTTAATGACCTCCAATAAATTGAAAACCCTAAAGATATTGAATTTTCTATCGTAGACTAAGAAAAAAAACTAAAATATTCACCTTTGAGATGCTGGAAACAGGGGCTTAAAGGACCAGTGTGTATGATTTAGTGGCATTGAGCAGTGTATTTGCAGACTGCAACTCCCTTGCCTTTCCAAGCCGAAGGAGAAACTATGATCACTGCAAAAATTGGCAGAAAAAAGAAAGACCCTACCTAGAGCCAGTGTTTTGTTTATATGTTCTGGGCTAATGTAGAAACATGGTGGTTCAACATGGTGGCTTCCATGGAAGGCGAACAGTGATGTCTGTAGATAAAAATGGCTAGAAAAATATCATTCTTATTTTCAGGCAATTACACACAAATGAAAACAGTTTTACGCATATTATATTCCATTTCTGCAAATAGACCCTCCTAAATGTTACACACTGGACCTTTAAAACCATTAGCAAAACTGTTACCGATCAGCGACTTTCAGCTCTAGCCTCACAGCAGAGTACAATCTGATTTGCATTGTATAATGTGATGTTATGGTATTATATCATTTTTATAATAGCTTTTCTACGGACAACTGGACAGCAGTTACGGACACTTTAGAAAGGCTAACCCAGAATGCGTGTTTCTGACCTCTAGTAGCTGGCTCTTGTCGTACTCTCTGCGGTGCTGGTAGATACACTGGCTGAGAAGGGAGTACAGTCTCTCCAGCTGCTCCACACTGTAGCCCTCACTCTTCTTCACCACCATATCCAGTAGAGCCTGAGGGGAACACATTACATAACAAATAAGGTATTAAAAACAGATTTACTTCTGAAAGACGTGCGCTGTACATTATCACTAATATCCATAAACGAAACAATAATGTAGCAAACAGGCATACAGAGTTGAATAACTGGTCACACAAGCTAAGTGCTGATGTTGGTGTGCATGGAGATGAAGCATTTGGAGGTCAGCTGTATTCAAAAGCAATTAAGATCAGAGTGACAGCTAATTAAGGCTAATCATAATTAGAACCAAGTTTACATTTCACTGCTACTTTAATTAAAACATTCTGGACAGTCAAAGGCCCTTTTAATTGACCTGTTCTTCACATTTTACCCAAGCCAGAGTCTGTGTGTGTATCTGTGTGTCTATTTAAACACCAGGCTCATCAAAATGCATGGGCTGAGACAGCAACGGCACAATAATTAAAGTTACCATCACTGACACAAGGCAAACAGAGGAACCTCAACAGAAATGAAACGGTGTACGAGTCTGTGTGTGTGTGTGTGTGTGTATGTGAGAGAGAGAGTGACCATGTGTTGAACACATAAAATCAAGGCGATGTCAAGATTAATAAAGACGTGGATGTTTGTCAAAGCTTCTCATCAGTGAACGTCTGAGAGATAATTACAGTGAGCAAAAGAAAAATTACAGAGGTAAAAAGGTTAGCATTGTATTAATCGTTGTACTCCATCTGACTATGATTTCTGTTTAAATGACAGAACAGTTGTCTTGATTAAAGTAACAGACGACGGTTTCACGTCAACAAAAACTTCAGTAGACGCTTAATCCCAAGACAGACTTAACTCGTGAACAGAAATTTAACCTTGAGAGCAGCGCTTCATTTTATTAGGACATTTCTTTTTTACCTTTCAGCACAAACACCTCTAATGGAATTACGGAAAAAGAATGAATTTCAAACACAAGCTGCCCTTGGGATCAACAATGGCTGTTAGCATTTCAGCTGTTTCCCAAAGCTCTAAACTGAAATATTATGAAAGTCACGTGGGTCGTCAATGCCATGTTTAGGTGTTCAGTGTATTCATTTCATATTTGGTTGCCAAAATGTAATTAAGCAGAGCTGACTATGGTTCCCGGAAAGTCTCCTAGGACAATCCATCAGGCCAAACTTTGGCTATTGTTGCATAATCTCTCTTTCATCTACCCACTACAATGTTGACAGTAAAAGTAATGGGCGACAGGGGAGATTATTAGGCTTTGTCAGAGGTCTGCATTCCTAAGAGTGTTTTCTTGTTTTTGTTTGTTGCATCACAGAAACTCATTACAATCCTGTAAATAATTCTGCCCCCCACTGAACAGCTGTAAGAGAGTGAAATGACAGGTAAGACATTAGCTACTCCTACCGCAATAAACACATTTTTCTACACTGATTTTTCAACATTAATGATGCCATATCTACATAGATATTTGAAGGTTTTGCATTTTGAATTTACACATATAAATATAATAATAATAATCCTAATAATGAGGGGAAAAAAAGAAAACCCTTCAAATCTCTCAAGTTCTATCACTGAAAAAAGTTTCATTTTCCATACTTTGCCAGCTTGACTTCCACTAGGTGCTTATCATACTGAACTCAATAGCCTGGAAACATGACTTTGAGGAGATAATACCTTTCAAGTATTCACACTTGCATAACTTAATCTGGCAGTGTAGGAGGATTCAACGGTAATATGCATTTGACATAAAAATCTCCACCTGGCCAATCTAATAACTATAGGTCCCTTGACAAATAAAGTGTGCATACAGAAGCTAAGACCACTAAGAATTTCCAATATTCAGAATTCATGCAAAGTGATAATGATCATCACAGCTGCCTTCAAAAGGTGCTGTCAGCTTCTGTACATTGAGCATATTTCATTGGATTTTTTTCCCCCTGCTTTTCAAACAGTAACTCTGGTCTAACATCAAGGGAGTTCTCAGGTTTCAACCCAGCCATGAGAACTCATAAAGGAGTACAAAATGGAGCACATCACGGCGAGATGCCGATTTTAACAACACACGCATAAAAGCTTTAATTAGCATCATTACAACTCATCTCACACATGTGTAATAATGTGAAATTCTCTGTAAGACACTGCTGCTTCCTTTCATCCAGCTGTCACTGCATTTCTGTCAATTTTTCATTATGTATCCCCTCTCTTGCTTTAAGTGCATTTCTCTCCTTTATAGTGCACCTTCTCTCCTTTATAGTGCACCTTCTCTCCTTTATAGTGCATCTTCTCACCTCTCGTCTAGTTGTTTCAATGTTTCAGAAAGGCTGTCCTTGCGTCCTCGTCAACCCCCATTTTTTCAGACACCTTTCCCTCTTAGCTTCCAGTGCATTTGTCTTTTGCTCCTTGTTCCCTTTCTTTTCACCCCCTCAATTTATTCTCCTCTTACTGTTAGCCAACTGATTGCAGCAATGTACTTCCCAACCTCTGTCTGCTTGATCAGGACGTGTGTGACAGTGTGGGGTAAATGGTGTGAGTGTGTCTTACACGGGCTCAGTGATTGAGTGAGCTCACCGCACACAAAAGGGCAGTAATCCCATGCGTTAAAGACTGCTACTGACATGGACCATTTAACCTACCCCCCCTCTACACTCCCTGTTCCATCTTCCCCTCCCCATCTTTACTCACATCCCTTTCTTTACTTACATCTTTATCCATCCCCATGCTTCTTAAGACCCCAGGTAGAGCTAAGAAGGCTTGGGACGGCTGTGGCTTTAGGGAACAAAGCTTATAATGGCATATGGAGTTATATTAGTGCCAAAATTCTGCTTCTGAAAGAGGATTTGATCATGAAGAACGTGTTGTTGCATGTTTTAATTTCCGGGATTTATTGTAACACAATGACTAATTAATAATGGGTTTATGTTTACGTCTGATCATTTGTGCACAATTATAGTATTGAAATTGCTTTCACCAAATCCTGTGCTAATGGAGAACAATATGGCAAAACATTCATGAATAGTGAGAAAATATAAGTGGAATAAACCAGAAGTGATTCATGCAAATGCATTCAGGCTGGGAACCAACACAATCACACAATCTTGCAGCTCTGGTATTTAACCTTGACCTACAGTAGGAACCAGATGACATGTCAATTCTACCTAATGCGTTGCCAATATTTCTCATATTCCTCGTGCCCTCCTATAGGCCAGGCTAAGATCACATGGAGAAAATAAAACCACCACTAGGTCTAGCGCACTACATTTATCAAACTAAAGGTCTCAGATTTGGGTGCCGTGTCTTGATTTGAAATACCTCAGTCTATATAGATTCTGTGTGTTACAAGGCACATATTGATGAATGTCACCAGTGAAATTTAACACCATTTTCAAGCTGCACTAGTTGCCCACTTTGCCCACACCGTGGGTACACATGTACATTACTGCAGCAATGTGGGAATCTCAATCATTTTCCATTGGGGTTAAGTTGCTCTTTAAACATAATTAGTAAAATGTCATGGTTAACTCATCCCACAGTGCCATAGTCTTCCAAAACAAAACAAAAAAACAACCTAATGTTGCTATTAAGTAATCACAACATGTTGATGGTAATATAGTTTGATGACTATAAATGTTAGTTATAAATGTTGCTGTGGAGCATTGAATTTATCATCATTCAGTACTTTACCTTTGCTAAATCCAAAATCTTTTTAAACAAACAACCTGTAAACAGTCATTTATATATAGACCGGAGGTAATTGTGATATAGTAGAGGGTTTTCCTCTTTGATTACTGAAGGATGCTTCACTAGCTGTGTGTGTGTGTGTGTGTGTGTGTGTGTGTGTGTGTGTGTGTGTGTGTGTATGTATGAAGAGCCATCCTCATTGCTGAGTGAGAAAAAAGGGTTACCAAGCAGTGAGGGAAAAAAAACAAGGATTTGAAGCCCAACAGTCACTGTCACCAGGGACACTATTAAGCCTCCAATATCTGCCTCTAAGAGAACAATTCACCCCTTTCTTCCTGTTTTAACTTACTTTTTTTTCAACTAGTAAAAGAATGAATTATAAATGATTCTGGTTTTCTTGTTACCATGAATACCATGAATGCGTTTAGTGAGGGCTGACGGTGGATGTGGCATTAGTGGATGGTGATTTGCTGGGGGAAAATCCAGTTACAGTGGCACTTAATGTGGCTTACAGGGTACTCGGTCACACAGGTAATGCAATATAGATAGTGTTATAAGGGTCAGGGACAATCATGACAAATCATATTACCATGGTCTCAGCCCATTAAAATGAAATGGTCATCCCTTTCGGGCTGGGCATGTAAAAGCCCTGCTGGGGTTACCGACTCATCTTAAATATGCAATGGTTGGCTTTACTTCTAACATCAAATCACTGGCATAGTCCCAGCCATCTGATAGCCTTGCATATTATAAGGAAAGGTCCTTTGTGCAAGATTTATATTAAACTACATGAGTTAATATATTAAATATAAACTTAAATATATAAACTTAAAAGTCCAGTGTTTTTTTTTAGGAGGATCTACTTTAGAATGAGTCGTTTTTATCTACAGAGGGAGTGGGTCAGATTGTACAGAATCCACCGTGTTGAATTAGCATGTTTCTACAGTAGCCCAGAACGGACAAACCAAACATTGCATCTAGATATGGTCTTCCGCATTTATTGCTAGTTCCACAGCTTGGAACAGGAGGGTGAGGGTAGGGTGTTGCAATAAGCAACTACAACGCTAGATACCAATAAATCCTACACCCTGCTCCTTTATTTCACCGTACCAACTGTATTACTTGTTTACTTACAGTACATACATTTATTTTTGTACATACATTAATGCCTCAGTGCATTTTGATATCTATGTCATGCTAAATCTAGATGGCACCAGATTTAATCAGTGACTCAGACATTCACATTATCAAAATAGCTGTATTTGCCAGTAAGTAAAGACAATTACTAAAATAAATAGTTACCATGGTCACTTTAGGACAAAGATCAATAAAGGAATTATTAGTATAGATCTTACATAT